AGGGAGTTTAACAAAATCTGCCCGTAAAGAAGCAATATGATGAGATACAAGTTTAATAGCCCGTGATGCACTTGTTTTTGAAACGCCGCAAAGATCTGCCACAGTTTGCTGAAAAGATCCTGATGCATAGAACCTGAGTGTAATGAAAAACATTTGATGTGGTTGCATAGCGTTGTTGCTGCCAATGGAAAAGTAATTTAGGAAAAAAACATTTACATTCGTCAAATGATATGATCTTACCGTGTTCCAATATAAATTTTTTCTTTTATTAAAGAAAAAATAAACCAAGCAGCATCTTTGCACATACGAAATCGATCACGAAAATCAACATCATCGTAATAATGAAAAAAATCAGGACGTTCTTTTATTTTTCTTTTTCGTCGAAGAACGATTACTTGTAGAACATCAAAATCGAAATCACTTTCATCTGAATCTACAAAATCCATTATTATTTACAAAAATTAACATTTAACACAGAAATATAAACCACTTCAAATAAAGACGCCAAGATTATTATAGCGGGGTTGCTATAGCTGTACAAACGAAATAAGTACTATTTCTTTCATTTACATTGTGCACTACAGCAACACTATCGTAAGTCAAGAATAAGCCAACTAAAGGGTAGGCTAACTTTCGGCTTAGGTTAGCCTAGATGGTGAAAATGAATAAGCCCAAAAAATGGCTTAACTAAGTTAAGTTGAGTTGGAGAAACCAGCCCTATGTCTTGTATGCAAAACTCTTTTACAATGTCAGTAAATTCAGAAAAAGGAGTTGTAAGTTATAGGCAAAAGCCATTCGAATATTCAAATTTATTGTCATTAAACTGAAAGTTATTTCGAGATAACTAGCACTCGACAAAAATGTCAGCCTTCTTTTTAAATAATTTACGAGGAAAGCTCGATCAAAAGCTACATGACATATAAATCGGACTCAACGACCAATTTTACATGGGGAATGGATGGTTTATTTCTTGGGTTTTTTTAATGTAAACTAATGGCGCTTTCATTTCTACCGAAAAAGGTTACCTTCTCTTCTCTCTCCTCTACGTACAATCAATAAGAAGAGGGAAACGAGAAGGCAAATTTTTTTGTAGAATCGTAAACGCTATAATATTATCATTTGCTTTTTATTTTCCTAATGTAACATCGACCCAGCCTAATGTATACACATATGTAGTATTACCAGTACTTGCCAGTATACACAGGTGGTAACGGATGGGAGTCTTGAGTGTAGGCGTTATTCAAGCTATAAGTAGAATAACAGTTCTCATTTATTTAAATTCGCACATACATACTATATGTACATATGTATGTAGGTATGTATCTATCAGGGATATTGCGAATATTTGCATTCGCATTGGTTAGGCGAATGATTCGCATCATCTTACCTATTCGCATTCAAATGATACGAATGGTCCACTCTAATATGTCTGTCTAACCAGGGTGCGGACAATAACCGGTGTTGAGACAGTTTCTCAACTAAACTAAAGTACCATTGGCGAATCATCATCGAATTATAGAACTCGTCTTACGACTCGTGACAGAAGTCATTTTAATTTATCGATAGAAATGAAAGTACTAGATTATTCTAGTATAATATAATATATTTTAGACAGTGGCGGTAACAACCGGCTTTTAGCTTCAGGCGCTAAACGGTTACGTAAATACTACATTAAGCAACATGGTATTGCTAAAGTCTTATCAGCGACCTAAAAATAATTTTAGATTCCTCCAGCGAAAGCGAAGGCGCGGATGTAGACTCTGGAGACATAAAAAAATGTGAAATTAATGCTCAATTGAAGGCCTATCTTAAATAAAAACGAGCTCATCTCGGTGAAAATCCTCTTGATTGGTGGAAAACTAAACTAAAATACGACAAATTGACAGATCTGGTAGAGGTGGAGAAACATCGATATATGCTACCGTGGATGTTTTCGATGTTGTAAAGCAAATCATCGATGTAACATCGATTGTTGTGAAAAATAGGGCGTTTAAAGGCAAAATTAAGTTGGTACTTAAAGTTAGTTCGTCTTTTATATTACATTGTCATCGAGTTTTACGCTAAGTTTAAAGTTTCAAGTCTCTAGCTCATCGGGAAGTTGGTTAGAATTGATAGCAAAATTCCAGGAGATATTAACATAATAATAATAATAATAATAGATTGGCGCTTACACATATGTAAGTGTTTGGCCGAGCTTCCCCTCCGACTTGTGGCGTGCGCCTTGATGTTGTCACACAAAGCGGAGGGACCTACCGTTTTACGTAGGGCTGCCAGATATCTCTGTTGCCAAACCGGGACACTTAAGGGTGGGAAAGGCCTCTCGCTCCCTTCCCTTTCGTTTCGACAAAAATTATTAGTATAATTTTATTTTGACAAACAAAAAAAAACATAAAAACATGAGATCAAGAGATCATTACAACGTACACCAGCAAGACAAAACAACTTATCACAACTAAAGCACAGAGAATTTTTCACAAAGTATGTACCTTGCTTTACAGTTTGTACTAAATAGATCAGAGAACATAAAAATAAAATTTCTAAACTTTGTGCAAAACTCGGGAAAATTTGCATACAAATTCGCAACTTTCTATTCAGACTTTTTTATAAAAATTTTGAAAATGAAGTTTTGCAGCCCACAAAAATTTAGTTGATTTTTGGATTGTTTTTACTGAGAGTTTCTTCCATACCAGCTACTTATGTTCGAAATTTGTTTGTATGTGGAAGACACTGTCAGCAAAAAATAAATAATTGCAAAAAATCAACGAAATTTTCTGGTAACTTCAGACTTCCACTTTACTAATTGGCTCAAAAGCTACATTTTCAAATTTTTTCTAAAAGATCTGACTAGAAATTGTGATCTGATGAAAGTCTCCGAGCCAATAATTTTGCACGACACGGTACACAGTGATTCGGATCGCAAATCTAGCTGGACGAAACTATTTAAACAAATACTCGTTGATGGATCTTTACACCACTTCTTACCTAGGGGATTTTTGAATCGCTGATTACGAATATGAAGTCACTTATCAAAAATTCAAAATGGCGGATCCAGTAAAATCGGTAGATTTCTATGAAACTGGGTATCTGGGGATTTTATGGCTCGTTGATTACACACCTAAAGTCATTTACCAAAAATTCAAAATGGCGTATCCAATATGACGGACGAAAATTTAAAAAAATCGGGAGATTTCTATGTAACTGGGTATCTGGGGATTTTCTGGGTTGCTGATTACGAATCTAAAGTCATTTACTTAATTTACTTTATTTACTTCGGAACGAGCATTTTCATCAGATATTTCTTTCAATTTACTAATCACATAATCACGGACACCTTGTTGTCTTTTAGAAGTTTCAGCAACACCAAATGTCAAACAACTCACTTCTTAAGATTTTATTTACCATGACTAAAATTTAAGATCACAGCAAGAAACACAAATAAATTTCAGAAAAAATTTTATAACAGCGCTTAAAGATTTGCATGCCTGTTGTATAATTTTTTAATTTCAGAAAGCAGAAAATTCGCGAGGTACTATTTTTTTTAACTCTTACATAACCAAAGGTTTTATAACTCCAAGTATTTTTTCTGTTTTAGCACACAACCCCTCCCCCCCTCTCCCCCGTGGATCCGCCACTGATCTTATATTTATATTCAGATACATTCCTGTTAATAATTACTTTTGAATTTTGAGATTTGACATACCGTCACTAAAATGTAAATATCTAAGCCAATTGGTTAGACTTGGTTATCGAACTTACCCTCTGCATTTGCGAAGGTGTAAAGAATAATACGCAAGTGGTTTTATAACGGCCTTCGGCGGTCTTTACTTTTCCTACTCTTTAATTTATTTTTTTAATTAATCAAAACGACGATTTTTCAGAATAAATTTGCTTATACCAATGTGGACATAAATTGCGTTATGACCCCTGAATCTATAGCGGAATAAGTGTAATTTTTTGTTTATAAAGTCAATTTGCAATTATGCTAATATTTGTGAGTGCAATTAGCAATCTTTTAAATTAAATAATTAAATTTCAGCTTTTAAAATTGAGTTCTCAAATAGGCGGCATTGACTTACCTTTTTTTGTTTGTTTTCATATGTTAATGCTTTAATAAATGCAATTTCTACTTGAATGTAAAGTCAGGAATGTATTCCAAGTGCCATTAAGTATTTTAAAAACAAAAAAATTTTGACTTTCGTCCAGCTAGATCTGCTATCCGAACCACTGTGCGGTACTTATAAGTAATCTAGGTTTCACGAAAGAAAAAAAAGAAAATACAAGGTAACATCAAAATATCAGTCATTTGTTTCGTTGCTGTGAACTTGTTTCAAAACTTCTGGATTTTGCTTAATATAATTGTAAAACTCTGTGCATGTCATTTTAATGTATTTAGGTACATACTTATATTAATCATCAACTATTGCTTGGGCAAAACGTGCTAAATTTAAAAAAAAATTCGCATATGAAAGGGCACCAACCTAGCTCGTAATAAATTTAAGTATACAAATTTTAGTATTTAGTATAAAAATATTCAATTCAAATACGCCAATATTAAAATGAAGCGCTTTGGACTTAATTTTTTCATAATTAAGTTAAAAAAAAATATTTAAATTCCATGCTGCTTGTAATGGGATTTGAACCCTGACGCTCCAGAAATTAGCAAATTGTGGCAAGCATCTTCGTGCACTCAGCTACAGCCAGACATGTAAATTTGCATTCAAATTTTCAGTTTGATTCAACACCACGTGTTCGTGGTATGAAAGTATTGTTTTTAAATACGAAAATCAAATCAAATAAAAAATATTCATGTTTAATATGCGTTATTTGCCCCAGTAAATTCATAAAATTTTTCTTAATATTACAATGCGTTGTTTCTCTCAGTGTAGTCATTTTTATTCAAAATTTGTGCAATCAAATCGAAAACCGGGACACTTAAACGAAACCCGGGACATTTTAAGGTTGGACCGGGACAAATAGTCTAAAACCGGGACATGTCCAGGAAAACCGGGACGTCTGGCAGCCCTAGTTTTACGCCGACTCCGAACGGCGATTGTATTTTCATGAGAAGCTGTTTTTCNCTTGAATGTAAAGTCAGGAATGTATTCCAAGTGCCATTAAGTATTTTAAAAACAAAAAAATTTTGACTTTCGTCCAGCTAGATCTGCTATCCGAACCACTGTGCGGTACTTATAAGTAATCTAGGTTTCACGAAAGAAAAAAAAGAAAATACAAGGTAACATCAAAATATCAGTCATTTGTTTCGTTGCTGTGAACTTGTTTCAAAACTTCTGGATTTTGCTTAATATAATTGTAAAACTCTGTGCATGTCATTTTAATGTATTTAGGTACATACTTATATTAATCATCAACTATTGCTTGGGCAAAACGTGCTAAATTTAAAAAAAAATTCGCATATGAAAGGGCACCAACCTAGCTCGTAATAAAT